CTATTGCTATTACATAGGGGGATAACAAGCACCTTATGTAATAGCAGATAGGGTGTGACAGCGATGCCCGGGGAAGCCAACGGCGGCCGCGGGGGAAGGGGGGGCGCCGCACGGTACAAACGATCCGGGGGCTGTACAGATGCCAGATCGCTTGTACATTAACAGCAATCGTCTGCTGTTAAAAGCGGTATCAAGAACATGGCTGCTGCTGCAGCCGTGTTCTTGTTTTAACCACTTCTGCGGGCCGCCGTCTATAGACGTATTGCAGCCCGGAAGTGGTTAAGTACTTTTTAGATGTTTTAATGTAGAACAGCAAAACTGGGAGAGAGGGTTTAGGGCTCCAGACCTCCATGGCAAAAATAGACTCCAGACTCTCCAGTCCCTTCCAGCTTCCACAGCGCAGGAATACTTTAGTTGAGCAGAGGATGGCACTGTGTAACAGAACCACAGCTGGGTAGATCTGCATGAGAATATGCATGAGATCTTCCCTGGGAGAAACCAGATTTGTTCCTGAGGTCCATGCCATACTGGTCTTTCTGGCACCTCCAGCAGTCATATGAGCCCTCTCCTTCCCAGATAGTTCCAGACTCCATCTGGGCCCAAGTTTTTAATTGTAAGCCCTCATGGGCAGGGCCCTCCTTACCATCTTGTCTTGAATTGTATTGTAAATGTATTGTCCTCCTTATATTGTAAAGCGCTGCGCAAACTGTTGGCACTATATAAATACTGTATAATAATAATAATGGGGCCTCCTGCAGGCTTGAGGCCTAGTGAGTTTCTCCAACCTTGTACATCCCACTCCCAGGCTAGGCCCAGGGGCAATTCCTGAGTATGTATGCATTTCCCCAACATGCACCCAACAACACTCCCAGCAGAAGCGTACCGTAACTACAACTTTCAGGGCCCCCGGTGCAAGAAACCATGAAGGCCCCCCCCCCAACCACCATGGCACCGCATGGTTAACAAAAAGGCTGCCAAGGTCCCCAGCAAGCGCAAGACCTCGGGCAGCCGCTTGTTTAAAATTTTAGTGCGGTGTTCTGTCGAGAACACTGACCCAGTATCTGCGCTTGTGTACAGACGGGATTACCGGCATTTATTTACAAAGTATTCGTTTGTAATTGTTAATTGTGACAGTTAATAATATACCGTCCATGGCAGGAAATGAAGGATGGAATATTATTAACGGTCACAATTAACAATTAAACTAAATACTTTGTAAATGAATCCCTGTTCCCTCAATAATACCGGTCTGTCGTAAGCGCAGATGCTGAGGTCGGCAAATTCGAATACATCGGCGTTCTCGACAGAACACCGGTATCTGCGTTTAGTATCGAGGCATTTTCACGAGTAGAAGTACTCGTGAAAATGCCCAGTATTAACACTGGTGCATCCCTACTTAAAAATATGATGCATTGCTGGGACTTGTAGTCCTACATAATTGGAGCTATTCTGCATTGCTGTATAATCATCATACATCAATGCAGAATACCAGCAGCTATGCGGGACTACAAGTCCCAGCAATACATTATAATAGACGTTAGCACTACAGAATCCCACTACACCCCCCCCACACACACACCAACATTTTCCCGCACCCCCCTTCCCTTCCCACTCCAGACTTACCTTCCTTCTCCAGCAGCCCTCTTCCTCGTCTCCCCGGTCAGGGGGCGGGGCTAAGAGGGTCGGGTCCCCACACAGCATATTCTGCTGGTGACAGTCTCTCTCCCATCCCTGCCGCACAGCTGCCCTTACATGCTGCGGGCTGCTGTGCGGCAAGGAAAGAGCAGCACTCTCTCGGGGGGGGGCCCTCTTCTTCCTCGCTGGACCCCCCCAAATGGCGGAACACCAGGGCCAGGTCGCAATTGCGACCGCTGCGACCTTGGTAGTTCCGCCAGTGACTCCCAGTGTTCTCCCATTGACTGCCTCACTCTGTGGCAGGGTCACACCCCACTACAGGTAGGTGCAATCAATAGCAGAACACCTAGGAATGACCAAATGATACCAGACTACAAATCAGCCAGACTGATTACAGTGCCAGCACCTTTAAAGAGCCACTCCACTTAGGGTGAAGGGACTACACGTGGGATTGTAGTCCATCACAGGCGTGAGCTTGGAGCGGTGACATACAGGGACCATGGGGAACAAAAATAGCCACCCTCCAGAAGGAAGGACAGTGTCAGCACCAATTCAGAGATGATTTGAGGATCTACAGCCGAGTGATCCACAAATAAGATACATTTTTGTTAATAGTTAGGGTACTTGAATGTATTTGTAAGGTTTAACTCCTGAGTTTATTGTCACTTTACATTAGGCATGAGGATTCTTGAGAGGATTTCTGTGCAGGGTACTGTGATGTTTTCAGGAGGCTATGTGCATTGCACAGAGAAGTACAGAGACCAAGCAAAGGCATCAATGAGTATAAAATAAGGTATGTAATGAAAACAGAATTCTTTTTCTATTATTTAATTGGCATGTTAATGAGGAGGGACGGAGGAGGCTAAATCTACACTTAAACTTCAGCTTTAGGTTTGCAAGTTTATAAATGGATGTTTTTATTTATTTTTAAGGCGGGTCAGTACATCCATTTCTCTGAGCCTCCCATCTGCATGGAATCTGCTGATTATGTAAGCGGCTGGGGAGAGGGGGTTCCGCTTGCTAGAAGAATTCATTATATGTGATAACTCGCAGGTCACATTCCATCAGATGAACTTGGACCAGACTTCATCATCAAATTCTAGAACTTGCCTCTGGTTGTTGAACTTCAAGCTCCAGAAGGCCGTGGCCAACAAATAGACAAGCTCTACTTAGAAGTCTATGGTAGTATCAGGGCAAGGTACTCGTGGACCAGAGCCTGGGGCAGCCAATTCTGGGAGAAGAGGACTGTTCAATACATTTCCTTTTTTTGAGTTCAGCAAAAGAACTATACAAAAGGGGGTGCAGAGGATGTTGAGAGGACTGAGTTGGGAGACTCTTTACAGCCCAAGAAACATGAACTATCTCTATCCTTTCTCCAGTTTTGTGGCCTGTACAGCTGAAAAGGTTGCTGCAGAGGTTCTGTGGGCTGGGCAGCGCGCCTCATGTGTGTGAATCACAACAACAAATCCAAAAATCCTTCAAACTGGTTGACTAGAGTTCCACTTTAAAGAGCACATCCCAAAAAAAAACACACCTAAACTCATATATAATCCGGTTATGATAAGGATAATACTAATTCACCTGTAAACCCGGGAGTGGTGCGTCCAGCTGCCTTCCTCATCAGACGTGTGTTTTAGTCTTTACGGATGGAAGCAGCATGATGGGCAAGGTGTAACAAAAAGAAAAGAGATTCTTGTAATGGGCATCACTGGGGTCACAGAGATTCTTGTAATGGGCATCACTGGGGTCATAGAGGTTCTTGTAATGGGCATTACAGAGTTCGTAGAGGTTCTTGTAATGGTAATCACTGGGGTCATAGAGGTTCTTGTAATGGACATCACTGGGGTCATGGAGGTTCTTGTAATGGTAATCACTGGGCTCATAGAGGTTCTTGTAATGGGCATCACTGGGGTCATATATGTTCTTGTAATGGTAATCACTGGGGTCATAGAGATTCTTTTAATGGGCATCACTGGGGTCACAGAAGTTCTTGTAATGGCCATCACTGGGGTCATAGAGGTTCTTGTAATGGCCATCACTGGGGCTGTAGATGTTCTTGTAATTGCCATCACTGGGGTTGCAGAGGTTCTTGTAATGGACATCACTGGGGTCATAGAGATTCTTGTAATGGGCATCACTGGGGCCATAGAGGTTCTTGTAATGGGCATCGCTGGGGTCATAGAGGTTCTTGTAATGGGCATCACTGGGGTCATAGAGGTTCTTGTGGGCCCTAAACTTGCCATGGGGCCATAAACTTGCAATTCTAGCAGAAATTTTTTTAATGTACTTTTGTGCACAACAAGTGGCAGCACAACTCTCAGGTGTGAACAGACACTATTGAATTTAATGGGAATCTATATGCTGAGCGTTGATGCTCTTTGGGAAACGTGTAACAAACCGCTCAGGAGGGAATGGGAGCTCAGCTGGGTGCAGAGTAGCAGAACCCCTGAATTTTCTCCCACTTCCATAGTGAAAGTCTTTCACCGAAGTGAAACAGATGAACACTCAATGAACACATTTGCACTCTCGGTCCCTATCTGACCCAAAAAGGAAGGGGTGTGCTCTAATCTTCAGCTACCTGTGACTATCATAACCATGGCGCAGGCAGCAAATAACAGGTTAACTGCATTTAAAGGCAAAAGATTTTTATAAAAAAAATAATAAATGTGCACTTCTTTATAAAAGAAAAAAATTTGCATTTTCTTTTTTTGCATTGGAGCCAGTAAACTGTGATCAGTGGATGGCGGGTGCAATGCTGTGTCTCCTGCAGATTCTCCCTTCTGTCCATGTTTGTATTGTGGGGAGAACACTGTGATTTAGGTGAGTCGGGGGGGTAGGATTGGGGGGTCTGCGGTGTGACCATGTTTCATGTTGAACCCTGAATATGAATGTAACACAAACCATGGTCAGAAAAGTAAACTTAGCCTTTAGGTAAGATTCCAGAAGCGTGCATAAGGTATGGCTGCAGCAGAGGAGGGGGGTGGGATTGGGGGGTCTGCGGTGTGACCATGTTTCATGTTGAACCCTGAATATGAATGTAACACGAACCATGGTCAGAAAAGTAAACGTAGCCTTTAAGTGAGATTCCAGAAGCGTGCATAAGGTATGGCTGCAGCAAAGGAGGGGGGTAGGATTGGGGGGTCTGCGGTGTGACCGTGTTTCATGTTGAACCCTGAATATGAATGTAACACGAACCATGGTCAGAAAAGTTAACTTAGCGTTTAAGGGAGATTCCAGAAGCATGCATAAGGTATGGCTGCAGCAAAGGAGGGTTTGAGCTCTCTGCACACAGTCAGTGGGAGGGGAAGAAAGAATTTAAACTGAGTTTAAGCGAAGCAGCTTTTCACTTTTGTCTTGGCCTCTTCAGCATCGCAGGAGGAGCAGCTCGCCACAGTCGGTGCCAAGATACAGGTATGTGGTAATGAAATCTGCAAACACTTCTTGTTTGTTCGGTGGGGATCTGAACATGAGAAAGTATAATATCTTAATACCAGCTCAGTTTCTGCACAGTAATAGAGGCAGACAACTGGATGAAGAATGGTAAGGACAGGGAACTGGAAATTACCTTTCAGTGCTAATGATTGTCTCAAATATTAGCACTGATTATCAATAATGTCGGGGACCTTATGGTATGTCACATTTTTCATGTAGTGTGGTCACAGATTATTACTATCCATTGGGGGAATTTATGAACGTATAGTAAGTATCTAAGATAGTACTTGATTGTATTCATTATACAGTTTGTGATGAGATATTCACTAGGGTGCTTCTAGTTAGAGGTGAGGAGTGAGAGCACCGAAGGTTTATATTGGGAGTCCAATTTAGGAATGCACTTGCGACAACATTTTAGCCGCCAAGACCAAAACCTCACGCTAACTGCAAAGTATTTTCTTTGTTATGTGCCTTTTTTATGTTTTCTTCTGACATTTCGCTTAATTTCTCAACTGCGCAGTAATTGCGTCCAGCACTTGCGACTTTAAGGGCTCGTTCACATGGGCATAAAAAACGCTGCGTACAGATGCTAAATATATGGCCCAATACTTGCTGTTTTTGTGTTGCGTACAGATGCGCACAAAAAAAAAGGAACAGGGCTATGTTTGGGGCCGTAAATCGTTCGTATTTTACACATGTATGCAGGTAAATGCCTGTGTATGCGTATATGCACGTGCATATACATAGATTATTATATTTCTAATGCAAAAAATTTTTAAAAAAGAGTTTGCAAGATGAAGAACACATATGGGCCAGATGATCGTATAAACACGCTCATACGCATGCATATATACGTGCCAATATACATTTACAAAGATGCGCATTTTATGCATGTTTCTTCACTTGCGTTCCTTTTATGCCCATGTGAATGAGGCCTAAAAGACTTCCAAGCTGTCGCACATTCTAGAAGTCCTCCTGAGCACTTCTTAAAGATAATATAGCTTCAGACTCGTAAGTCAGCTAAGCGCTTATTAAGGCATTTAGAAATGAAACATAAACAAGGATAATAAATTTGGCGCTGTATGCATTAGAAATCAGGGATAGGACAGTTTAACAGATGCTGATGATGCCACCAAACTGATGTCCCCCATTGCACTATGTTGGAAAGACGGGTTTTTGTTTAAAGGCGCCACATTAAATGTTGAGGGGTGACGTAAACATGTAGAGATGTATTTTAATAAGTGAAAGGTGTTATAATGATTTGCTTTGTGCTAGGAGCAGCCAATCAGAACTCAGTTTATTACACATAACTTTGTGACAGGGGATTGCTGATTATGATTGTGGCTTAGGTTGCTTTCTGTTCAGATGCCAATAATTTGGTGTGTTGGGGTAACCTAAAGGGAATTCTCATGCAGAGTCTAAATTTCAGGTATGTTCTACACAATGGGACAACTTCTTGTCATTGCTATGAAAATTATAATAGGTATTTATTTAGATAGCGCCATAAATATACACAGCCCTTAACAAACTGTATGTATACATCAATTTTACATACAGTCTTCTGTGTGTAATCTCCTGTCATTTCAAAGCAGTGGGTATAGGTAGCAAAACATGCCAAGGAAACATTGTATAGCAAACAGGAATGTAAATATAACAATGTTCATTTATCCAGGTTTTCATTTACAACGTAGTTGCAGATATCAAATTCTCCAGAGCTTAGTTAAGGGGGTTAGAAAAAGTGATCTAATTTCACAATTGCTTCTAAAACCAGAATAAAAAGCTGTGTAGATTTGCAGATAAATGTAAAAGCCACGCACCACTTTCTATGTAATAGCATACCTTGTACCTTGATATTAAAAATCAGACTCCAATTCTAAATTTGTTTTTTGTAGTAATGTAACTCGGCTTTTCCCTGGAATAAACTCCATCATGCACGCTTCGTACTGCACATTGCAGCAGGTGAATGGTGAGGTCAGCTCTCTCACGGTGATTATTGCATCACTCATACACACAGCACAATTCACCACATCTGTAATATGTAGTGTGAAGATTTCTGATGACTTCCACTCACTTTGGAATAACAATGGTAATTGTAACAGCACTAAAATCCAGCAACCTCCCTGGAGCATAAAGACAAGAGGGAAAGGGGAAGGAAACAAGGGAAAGAAGGGAGAGGGAGGAGAGAAAGAAAGAAAGAGAGAGAGAGAGAGAGAGAAATAAAAAAGGAAGAGTGAGTGAGTGAGTGAAAAAGGAAGGAAGGACGAAAGAAGAGAGGGAGTATGTAAAGAGGGAAGGTAAAAAAAAAAAAAAGCAAGACAGAAAAGAGGTAGGATGGAAAGAGGGAAGGAAGGACATAAGGAAAGAAGGAAGGAAGGAGGGGGGAAAATATAAAGAAAGGGATGAGAGAGGGGTAAGTAAAGAAGGAAGGTAAGAATAAAGAATGATTGAGAAGAGGGAGGAATGCAAAAATGGAAGGAAGGGCAAAAGGAAGGAAGGATGGAGAGAAGGAATGAGAGAGGGGGTAAGTAAAGAAGGAATGTAAGAAGAAAGGATGATTGAGAAGTGGGTGGATGGATAGAGGGAGGGGAGGGCAGAAGGAAAGAGGGAGGGGATTAGGACAACAGTACCTTGTCAGAATCAGAACAAAGGTTTTAAATAATAAGAATAGAACATAATGCTTTGCAATCTGTTATAGTGGCCACAGGCGTGACAATCCCATTCTAAGGTTTTCATTTATATAATTTGAAATTGAAATGTGATGAGCTCAAGCATACATTTGGGTAGACGCACACAGCGGTAGGTACAGAATAAAGTTCCTCTGCAGAACATTCTACTTTTTGCAAGCAAAGAACTTGAGGAACTGAACTCCTCACATGTCCCTGGTGACAGGTAGCAAATTGGGGAAAAAAACTTGTTTAGGTTTATGGTTATGGCTAATGCCTGTGCAGATGTGATGATATTGTAAATGTAATTGGTCCAGGGGTCTCAATAAATTCTATTCCACATTCCATTCTATTAAATTAAAGAGTCCACAGAGTCCTTGATTTAAGAAACTGGATAGCAGTTACTTTAGTAAGGTTTGGCAGTTTATTGTCAAAGCAAAGTAACTTGTGGAGAAGAATGAGGACCAAAGAGGATGCTAGAAAATGTAGGACCTCCAAGAACAAGGGCTGTGATCACATGGGCTTCATAGGGAGACATTTGAACTGAGTCTTTACCACCTGCTAAGTGCCCCACAACTGCAAGGTCTTACAGTTTTACGTAGTACATAGTTCCACATTGGTTGGGTGTTGCATCATGAATAGCTGACCTGAACGTTGAATGCAATGTTCGAGTTGTTTTATCCTATTGATTTGAGCTGCTTCATCCTGTTGGCCGGGAGTACTAAAAGAATGATAACAGAATAGGCCAAACAGAACCTGTCTTCTGCATCCAGCATCAGTGTATATCTCTGGATAGTAGTAGAACTCAATGGTCCTCTCAGTACACAGCAGAGGGTATGGCAGTGATCCTTTAACATTTAAAGTTTTTTGTGGATTGCTTGACACTCTCACTAGAAGGTCAGACTAGATGTGAAGGATCCTGTGGATTGCTTCACTCTTCCAGCCAGCTCAGCTTTGTCTGTCTTAGCGGGACAGCTGATTGTGTCTTCCTTGTGCTCTGAGTGGCCAAGAACTTGCTAGTGCCCTCATGGAACACCCCAGGAGTATTAGGATCCCAAATATTAGTTCACCACCACTAGAAGAATCAACACAAACAAGGGGCGCCTTTCCTGGTGCAGACAAATTTATTAAGATCAGAATACAAGATAAATATAAAACATACTCACAAAATTCATGATAGAAGTATAAAAAGTGTATAAGTTAAGTCCATGGACCCAAGGTGAAGTCTATGAAAGCTGCACAGCCGTGTCTATGTGTCAGCAGGAGACTGTGTGCTGTATGATGATGCGTTTCCAGGGTCACGCCCCCTTCATCTATATACTTAACTTATATACTTTTTATACTTCTATCATGAATTTTGTGAGTATGTTTTATATTTATCTTCTATTCTGATCTTAATAAATTTGTCTGCACCAGGAAAGGCGCCCCTTGTTTGTGTTTTTTCCCTAGATTTACAGTCTCCCCGGCTGATTTGGGGCAGCATCCTACAGACACACACATTTTTTAAACGTGTTTTTTATTTTACTCAATCACCAATTTTTAATTCAATCATCAATTTCCAAACAGACTTTGATTCTAATTTTATTCATGTGTGCATTGGTTTGTACTGGTTGAGCAGTCCTCTCTGGCGCTTTTTTGTTTTTTTTCTTTCACCACTAGAAGAATCTCAACAGATGTTGGCCGGTCCAAGAAATATTCATAGCTAATAACTTTTCTGGCTAAGCTCAGTGGAACTATCCAGCAGTGTCTGGTGGAAACATATATAGTTGGTTGGTTCACCAATAACTGATATTGCCATTTTTTTTTAGAGTAAAAGCACCTGACAGTTTCTTCTATCCCATAGGGACTTAGTAAGATTTTTGTGCTGAGTTCCCAGGTCTGACCACTTGATGTGACCATTAGAGGGGTTTCCACTCTCCCTGCTGAATTTTGTATTTAGTTTATATTATGGAGAAAGTAACAGGAGCTGGAATACACAAAGGTGGGTGGGAACATCCAAAACTTCGAGGTGGACAGGGACAGAGTTGGGAATGGCAGGTCTACTTTAAGGTGCCCATAAGCAAAAAATGAGGTTGTGACCTCTGTTTAGTTATTCTGTAAAATTATCATTCCTTGAACCCATATTGGAAGTGCATACTTATCTACTGTGTAGACAACTATGGCACTGCCTTGATCTCAGGAGTATAATAACAATTTGCTGAGCAAGTGCATCCCGGCTATATAATTGTTCCCCCAAGATCAGCCATCCAGGGGTTATCTGCATGGGTCAGAAGTGAGACAAAACATATAACTGTCTCCCAATTCTACTAGTAGTGACAATCAGCTTATGACTATGTAAACCTTAAAGCAGTGGTTCTCAACCTCTGGAACCTCAGGGCCCACATTTGTCCTTGGTCATTGAGTCATGACCCAAGTTGCACTGCAATGGAACACATGGTATTGTGGTACCGCACGTTCCGATGTGGGCAATAGAACTGTGGGTGGGAAACGCATTTGGGTTGCTATTCAAATGCAATGCACCTCTCACACCAGAACGCGTGGTAGGTGCGATTGCGTGGTGCAGTGCGTTAATCGCACGGGACTGTGTGATTAACGCACTGTACTAGTGTGAATGGGCCCTCGAAAGCACTGACAGACACACACAACCAGAGACACACTCAGATATTCTCAAACACACATATGCACTCCAAAAATATATATATTTTTTAAATTCACCCAGTCTCACTATCTTACAAAAACTGGAGTGGATCCAGTGTGGGCTGCTGTGCTGTGATGGAGCTCCATCCATATGTGCATTGCTTGTACAGCTCCCTTGCACACCCAATGGAGGTGCCAGGAGCCAGAATGTAACATCACTCCGGTCCAGGCACCTCTACAGGGCACACAAGGGAGCTGTAAGCAATACACTTATGGATGGAGCTCCCTTGTGGCTATAGCCCCAGCCCACCCCACCTCAATCTGACACTCATTATCAGGCAGCATATTTTGAATGGCTGCTTGGTGCGAGAACTGACAGTGCTGCGCTAGGGGGAGGCTGAGGAGCCTCTCACCTCGAAAAGTGGAAAGCACGTGTGGACACACTAAAAACAAGGTCGCGACCCACTTTTGGGTCACGACCCACCAGTTGAGAACCAAGGCCTTAAAGTATGTCTGACATGACCTTCCTCTAAAAATGCTAGTTGCTTGCCTGTCCATGACCTCAATACTTCAAAATCAATCACCCGGATCAAGCAGTGATGACATGCCCTTTTAATTCCTATTTGGTGGGAATTTTTATGATGTTGATGTGACAATGGAAGATGACGTTGGGTTGAAAGTTAACATATTCTTGTAGATTGCTTGATATGAGAATTTTTCGCATACGGGCACCTAAAAGTGAACTCGACCAGGGTCAGGCAGTATCTCAGCACGTTATTGTAAACAGCTGGAGTTTAATGACTGAGAGATTGCACTGTCTCGTAAAGAAGCTTTTAGCCTATCAATGCCCCCGATTTTAATGCTGAACAGGCATCACTGAGGAGATGGAATCATTTAGCTCAAGGTGCGCATCATTACTGCATTAACTGTACGGGAAACCCAATCCCTTTTCTTCACGTCAAACATTACTTTCCAGTGACATCCTGGAAAAACGTTGCAAAGTGGCCCCTAACCAACCATATTTAAATTGTGATGTAATCAAATTTATTTATGTTCCTACCATTAAGGAAAAATTCCAACCAAAACCCAGTCATATTTAAACTATGCTGTATACGGTTACCAGGAATCCTCCTGTACATTAAACTTTCATCATTTATTGTGCACCAACTGTAATGTGACATCAGGCAGACAGCAGCAATTTGGATCAGTTAGCATTGCGCCAAGATACTATAGAAATAAAGTCCGAAGCCATAAGGTGGTGCATGGTGCCAGCAGGAATAATCAGCTAATCAGCTATGGTATTATAGTTATGCTCAGTTGATATTAATGGGTCTTATGTTCTGTTGTAGTTCATTCTGAGTGAACTTGTGCTCCATTTTTAACTTTTAATTGCCCTTCCTAACAGCAGACACCACATTTTGCCAGCTGTTTTTATCCAAAAATGCCCTTTCTGTGCCAGTCTCTGCTATAGTGTTACTTTGTTATTGGTGCTTGACTTTCTCTGGCTTCATGGCTAAGCTCCACCAACTACTAGCTGTCTGATAATCAAGATACACATATTCCTAACACATAGTAAATGAGCTTTGAAACAAACCCTTACTGACCTCTGTAGCTACAGGTACTATTGAGAAATTCATCCTTAAAGTTCACAGCAGAAGCACCAAAGCCGTTTAAGTCGTTATTTCTCAGCAGCTCAGCTTCCCCTGCTCCCACCTCCCAACAGTGGCCTTCTAGCTTTCCAATCTCTAATATAAACAAAGAACGGGTGATCTGGGAGAGGAAACCGTGTGAGCTTTGTTGTTGAGAGAGCAACCTTTTCAACTTGTGCTCCTACTTTAAACTTTGTGGATGAGTGGATTTGGTGAGCTGTGAGCTGCTGCCAATTGCTGTTTTCTGTGCAGAGGGGCATTTGTCTTAGAACACCAAAACCATTGCTATTGTATGCTGAAATTGGGGGCGGCTGCATTGACCGATGAAGCAAGAAAGAAAGGGGTGGGGCTGCATGATTGACACACATTTGCTCTCTGTAGACCTAATTATCATATTTCATGCCCTGGCACAGAAAAAGAAGACATCAGGCAGAAGTCAGGCAGAGTTCAGGCACAAGTCTGGAAGTAAACCTTAGCCCTCCAGCTGTGGTGAAACTGCAAGCCCCATCATACCTCTGCAAGTCATGTCTGTGGCTGTTAGAGTCTTGCAATGCCTTATAGGACTTGTAATTCCACCACAGCTGGAGGGTCAGACTTGCCTACCCCTGGAATACAGGATTGGTTGCACAGACAAAAAGAATTTTACAATTTTCATTATTTGTTTATTTCACTTAATTACTTCTGATATTATCTCATCAAATGCAGGTTATATAATGGGTCTGGACTCCAAGCAGGTGGCGCTGTTGGTGTTGCTGGTGGCCTCGGTAATAGCTGTGGTAATTGCGCTAATTCTAAGTTTGGTGAAGAGCAGCGAAGTCCCACTCCCCCCTGGAACCAAGGTAATACCTGACAGTATATTCTGCTGCCTTGGCATTATATAGGTCACATGACCTGGTGACATGTTAAATGAACCTGTATTAAGAGAAATACATAGACTGCAGTTGCTTCCTTCTAAAAGAGTAACTGTGTCATGGAAAAATAGGCAGATCAGGACTACTGCCTTCACTGGCTGCATACATGCTACTGGTCTGTGACACAGAAGAACGCCAATGTAAGCCATGTTTTTCTCTCACAACAGGTGTTTTTAAAGGAAACATCAAGAGAGAGATATAGAAGCTGCCATTGTTAAATTGTTTTTTTTTTTTCAGATGTCAGATGACTGATTAAGTCAGGGGTGGGCAATTCATTTTCTCAAGGGGCCACATGAGAAACTGGGACTGTTGTGGAGGGAAACACATTACTGTGAAGGTGCATTGGCACAAAGGCACATACGTTAAAAAAATCTGAGGGAAATACGATGGATGCAACTACCGTGTTTCCCTGAAAATAAGACACTGTCTCATATTTTTTTGGCTCCAAAAAACACACTAGGTCTTATTTTCGGGGTAGGTGTTATTTTTTATTTTTTTATGTACAACAATCCACACTTATTCATGTAGAAAAGTCTACATGTATTCATGTACAACAAAATAGTGATCAGGGCAATCAGGGGTGCTGTACCTTTCCATGAGCAATTTGCTAACCAATCGCTGGCCAGAATGAGTGAAGCGCACTTTCACTATCGATTCCTCAAAGGCAGAGTGCATTTGGTATCACTCCACCTGTGACAGGAGCCAGCACTATAGAGGAGGCATCTGCTTATGCGACTCTGCTCCCTCCGGTGCTGCCTCGCTTCCTGTAGAGCTGGCTTCGTTGGCACCACTTATTCTCTCCTGCCTCTCCCGCGGCTCTTCAAGTTCCCCCTTATGTCACCACCGGCCCTGGGAATGGACACAACTAGGTCTTATTTTCAGGGTAGGTTTTATATTTTAGCAATTCCCAAAAATAGTACTGGGTCTTATTTTCAGGGTAGGTCTTATTTTCGGGGAAACAGGGTACTAATGAGTTGTCCCTATCAGAGTGTCCCCTTACATTGGTTATCCCCACCAGAGTGCCCCCTTACATTGGTTGTCCCTATCAGATTGTCCCCTTACATTGGTTGTTCCCATCAGAGTGCCCCCTTACATTGGTTGTTCCCATCAGAGTGCCCTCTTACATTGGTTATCCCCACCAGAGTGCCCCCTTACATTGGTTGTTCCCATCAGAGTGCCCCCTTACATTGGTTGTTCCCATCAGAGTGCCCTCTTACATTGGTTATCCCCACCAGAGTGCCCCCTTACATTGGTTGTTCCCATCAGAGTGCCCTCTTACATTGGTTATCCCCACCAGAGTGCCCCCTCACATTGGTTGTCCCTATCAGAGTGCCCTCTTACATTGGTTATCCCCACCAGAGTGCCCCCTAGCAACCAATGACTGCTTAAAATATGGACACTTGATGTCATTGGTTTCTAGGGCGCCAGCGGTCCTAGCAGCCAACGACTGAAGAGGAGGGGTGCCTGCACTGGGCTATGGCTTGCAGTGGATACACCAGCCTTGGAGGCCAGCACATCCACTGTCTGCCAGCCATAACTGAGTGCAGGCCGGCGATTGGTCCATGTCCGTTGGCCATTAAATCTCCAGGTCTGGTCTGAGTGGTGAAAGAAGGATAAGGATGGCGGCCCTGACAATTTTCTGTGCTCTTTTTAACTATTTCTGGGTTCTTTTTAAGATGCCCATACACAGGCCAACTATTGCATAGATGTTGTAGTATTCACTTTAACAAGTAGTATACGAATAGACCGCAGTATCCAGAGAATTCCAATCCTTCAGACTTTATTGAAATTCAGTGAATTAAAGTGTATAAAGCAGCAAATACTAGCACCACAGCCCCCCAACCAGCTACAACCTCCTTAGGGGTTTGCAGTGCTGGCATTTGTTGCTTTATACACTTTTATTCACTGTTATACTGGATTTGCTGTGAATTTCAATAAAGTCTGCTCTATTGGAATTCTCTGGATAGTGCGGTCTGTTCCTATTCTACTACATTACAAGGTGGAGACGTACCTATTGGACCAGCACCTGGGGAGTCTGATGGCGGCTAAGGAATTGGAGCGGTGAGATTTCCTTTGGCTCTACGTTTACTTTAACAAACTACTACTTGTACCAAAATGGACAATTCAAAAATGAGAGAGGATGCCGGTAATCAGCAAACTGGACCAAGATTTATGACAACTGCAGCAATGGGAAAAAGTGGACAATTTAAAAAAAAAAACCTTTTGTTGGACAAATATGTTTACACCATGCTGGGTGCTAGAAACCTAAACTAGAACCAAAAAGCAGAAATTGTGTATTGTATCATATAAAATTCAACACATTATATGAATTCAATCACAAAGAATCTGTACCATAAATAATATATGAAAATCTAATACCAATTAAAATTCAAAAAAGGTAAATTTACAAACCCACCACCACAGATTAAAAAGGATCCAGGCAGCAGTGTTTAAAGAGGACCTCCGGGGAAAACTTTTCTTAATCCTTCACTGCTCATTTTTGTCTAGGGAGGAAAATAAAAAAGTTATACTTATCTGATCCTCAGAGACGGACAGCTGTTACTCCACTCCTTCCAGCCTGCCTCCCTCTCCATTGCAGCAATGGAATGTCCCTCAGTGTCCTCATGTCCTATACACAGTAAATAGAACATGATCACACAGGGACATTAGCTGTTGCCGCGGAGAGGGGGAGGCTGCATGGACCGGTCTTACAGCCAGCTGTCTCCGAGGATCACGGGAGTATAACTTACTTTAGCACCTAGACAAACATGAGCACTACCTTACAGTGCAGTGGTAGCCCCACTGCAAGGGTTAAGAAAAGTTTTTTTCCCCCGGAGTTGTTCTATTTACAATGTAAGAGCTTATGGTTCTATATATCCTCCTGGAAGGGCACCTCCTTCTAATCCTCACTAAATTGTCTCCAAGCCATGGTGAGGAACATCAGGGTGAATCTATGCAGCAAGCTGCATCAACATAAGAAGTCACAGTTCTGCTAGCTCTAATGTGCTAAGGATGTGTATAAAGCAGTGTTGATAAACACACAACTGAGTCAGATGTGTAGACAAAAAAAAGTGCAAACAAGTGAAAGTGCAATAAACATAGGAAAGGTCCAATGAAACTTTAATGGTCACAATGCAAAGTTCATAAAAAAGACAGCCAACACGTTTGGGGGTTCAACAAATCCCCCTTCATCAGGGATAGAAAATAAAATAACATAAAATAGATGTACTGTATATAGAAATATGTATAGAATGATATATGTGTGACTAGCAAAGTTCATATTATCAAGAATAACGTATATGAAACTGTAGCATAATATCAATAATCAGAAAGATAAATAAAACATAAAACACATGTATGTAGATATATGTATAGAATTATACAAAGATGTGTAGACAGATGGATAAACACAGTGAGGGGGATATATCAAAACTGGGGCAGACAAATCCTGGAGCAGCTGTGCATGGCAACCAATCAGCTTCTCTCTTTCATTTTCAAAGCTTAACTGAACAAACTCAAGAAAGAAGCTGATTGAATGCTATGGGTGACTACTCCAAATTCTGTCTGCTCCAGTTTTGATAAATTCCCCTTAATGTATCACACAGATTGGATGTTTCAATTATCTTGTTTTCTTTGGTTAGCCAAACTTAGGATTTCCAGCCAATGACCACAAAGCTTTATCTGTCTGTACAGACACCACAATGACAATAAAGTCTTCTTATTATTTATGTTGTTTAGTCTGTTTTCTTGTTTAGTCTGGCGATGGCTCAGGTTTAAAGCGAACCTGCGCTCATCTGAACCTGGAAGGAAGTCAATAGTACCGGCCAAATCAGCTGCGGTCAGGCATTCTACACCCTGCAGCATGTTAGGTCAACATTATGGACCTAGTATAGCCAGGTGGCCATATAAGGTCAATGATGTCACCAGCATCCCACTGCTTCAGGGTGTAGAATGCCCGGCCGCAGCTGATTGGGCTCGCACTGCCAAATTCCTTGCTGGTTCAAATGAGCTCAGGTTTGCTCCAAACCCGTTGCCATCACCAGACTAAGAAAAATAAGAAAAATACTTTATTGTCTTTGTCCAAAAACACACAGTGAAATTTCAATTTGCATTAAATGTTTAATTGTAACACAATAAAAAATAGTCTGTGTATTATTCAAAAATAACCAGTTACTCCTAATTATATATACGCCGGACTTGCATAAACATGCACCTATGTGTGGGTGCACGACCCTGAACGCAGACTGTGTGTCCTTACACATGCGTGTTTAAGCAAGTCAGCCGTATACCCGCGTACAGCCATTGGTTTCTATGGGAGGCCATACATGGTACCTGTGGCTGCCTGGCAGCAGGAATTTACATTGTACAGCCACAAGCAGCCGTGTACAGGAGCCCTTACCAAATTCTGCTCTGTTATCTGTGCAAAGCATCCCCAACCTGACCCTGAGCTGGTGTAGGAACTGAGAAAGCTGAAACATAAAGTCTGATGACTCCGGAGGTCTTAGGGCAAAGAACTATAAAAATACCTTGGAATTGCTGCACGTGTCTGTGGTTGTCAGCTCATTTTCACTTCCCCTTTATACGGAACTTGCGAAATCATTTCTGCCCTCTAATCTTTTCTGTGGATCCATCACTTCATTGTAAAAGGGCATCTGTGTTAATTTAAACACCGTTAGGGGAAACGAAAGTTTAACAGGAAATTATATTGTAAGTCCTTATTTTAAATATATATGCGCTGATGACTGGGTGCTTGTTATGTTGCCAGGCACCCATGGTAAACTTTGTAGTTTAAACATGGCCAAAATAAGAAATAAAAGAAACACTACTGTCCTTGATTTTATCTTAATAGCTGTTCAGCAGTAGGGATTCAATCAAGTAGGGAGTAGGGATGAACTTGAGTTTGTAGGAAACGGGGAGGAAGCTGTCAGTGGCTGCATGCAAACAAAGGGGTGGTATGATGGTGACATCATTGACCTTATATAGCCACATGACCATACATGGTCAATGGCACTGATCTATTATGGCCATGTGGCCATATAAGGGCATTGAAGTCTCACCCCTTTTTTTACATGCACCTGCATGGTGGGGAATACTCTGGCCAAAGCTGATTTAGCCACAATGGATAGGTTTTTTTCTGGGTTCAGCTCATCTCTATCCAGCAGGGGTGCTGATTCCCTGCCTGATATAGAGAAACCTCCTGAAAGAAGACTCAGCAATCTGCATGCATGGCATCATCATGAAAAACAACACAACAGGCATGTAAAAAGTTGCACTTAAGATCAAAAAGTATCAAAGAAGACTTGATAATTACCTAATTTGTGCTCCCATTGAAGTGCACTTTAGTTTCCCTCTATAGCTTTGTATCTTCTTTCTTCTGCCAAGCTGCTGATATTTAATATTTGCACAGCTGAGTCATTGCAGCATAATGCTATTTGAATTAGAGCCACAAGTCGATGTATTTACCTAGATTGTAGTCAGACAGGCTTCGTCTAAACGGATTTATAGTGAAACTATACTCAGATCTTAGAGGCAAACGGCTAAATATGACCATGGAATACATATAAGGGGGCTGTGTTACCTGCCAATGGATTTGTACTTCTCTCCATCCAGTTCTGAGATTTACACAGTTCTGCCACACAGCACAACCCTGTCTGGCAAGGCAGGAAACCTGGTTTTCTCTGCTGCAGTTCAATAACACTTAGGCCCCATTCACACTGAGCGATTTATCGAGCGATTTTTGCAGCGATATCGCTCATATTTACACGCGATATCGCTCTATGTAGCTTAAAATATAAATGTAAGCATGTATTAATGAATACAGAGCTGCAGTAACTAGTGTATTTTAGATCTGCGCAGAGTTTGGCTTTAACAACTTTGCAGAGATGGCTCAATAGAGTACTAGAAGGTTCTGAGCACCTTTAGGCCTCATTCACACTGCCGTATAATGTGCTGAGCATAGATGCCTTATCGCACAGTAAACAGAAGAGTGGCGCGGGTGTATCTTTTGCGGGCTCAGGGACAGGGCCGATGCAAGGATTTTTGTGTACACAGGTGAAGGTGCATTTTTCAATCCCTCCAGGTCATAGCAGAGCACACACATCCACGCAGCACGGAGGGCATCCACCCAGCTCTTCTCTTTGTGTCACCCGCTCTGCTTTGCGATCATACAGCTCTCTGCTGTCAGTGCTGAGATGCAGGGCCAGTGGTAGGAGTTTTGCAGCAGAGGACCTGCTCAAGGGGCAGCTGCTTTGGGCCCCACAACAATGACTGGGCCCTGGGCAGCTGCCCCATTTGCCCTGTGTTAAAGACGGCCCTGGATGCGTTTTTCCCCCATATGCAGCATATTCAAATAAATGGCCTCATACACATAGCTGCCGTATTTTTGCTTTGCGTAAAGATGCGCAAAAATAGAATGGAACCGAGATGTGTCCGGGCTCAGGATGTCTGCTTATTTTACGCACGTGCGCTCATATATACGCGTATGTGCGCCTGTATACGCGCGTACAGTACATTAAAGTTTATATGAAAAATTATGCATTCTGGGATTGCATTTATGCCACGCATATACACGACAATACGCATTTACAAATATGCGTACAATTTTGCTCTTGCGTTGTGTGCAAATGAGGCCTTACAGAAGAAGATCCTGTCACTAGCTCCCTTCAGTGCTGCTGACAAAACCAAAATCATATGCTCAGGGTCATGTAGTCTTTGATATGTAGGGGAGAGGAGAATCAGTGTTTAACCCCTTAGTGACACAGCTTCAGAAAATGTTTTCCTTCCTGGGGACCGGAGCAATTTTGCCATTTTTGCTGTGTTTGTTTAACCATAATTACCATCTTCCTCATTCATTGCATTTACACGTATTATATACAATTTTTTAAAGGACAAATGGACTTTAATTTGATGTGACATATACATATATATATAAATTCTTTTTTTTTTTAAAGAAAATAATTAAAAATAACTCACATTTTCACAGTTTTGGCAATAATAATGTGTACATAATTATTGTAGCTAACAGCAAGTAATTCATGATAACTTCTTTTATTTGTCCTGATTTATAGGGTATATCATATGTCAAAATTTAAAAAAATGTTAAAAACTTTATTTAGTTTTTTATTTTAATTAGGGGTTGTTTTTTTTACTTACAGGTGCTTTGATGCAGAGTATCTCTGAGGAGAATTTGTATTCTCCTCAGAGATACTCTGTATCAGTTTTAACACATTAAACCGGCTCGCAGCTCCAACACACACACCGGCTTAGTGGCTGTCAAGGTTCTGTGATCACAGCAATTACCTATTGCAGTGATCACAGTGCTGTTACCACCTACTCTGCTGTTGAGGGTCTGCCTCAGACCTCGAGGGACCCAGCAAGAGCAGTAAATCAATTAACACTGGTCTTTCTACGAACCAGTGCTCATTGTAAGACATGATGGGAGTATTCCATCACCGGTCATTGATCAACTGAAAAATCGTGATGGAATAATCCTGTCATTGTTCAGGAAGGAGTTAAACTGACTCTCTGCTTAAAGTGCAACTACAGGGTCCCGTGTGATAGTCTAAACAAGTTTTAAATTCAGTTACTATGTGATGCACACGCATCACAAAAACTTACTTTACCCTCCCTGACTGAGCCAAATCTTCCTGCATTTGTGTCTCACATGCTTCCCCTCCCAGACACTGCAGCTCACACTAGGAGGGTTTCAGCAACAGAGCTGTCACTCCAGAAAACAGTGGGTAGGAATAGCTGTTGTCAGATGCTGATTAACAAGTTACAGGCTTGTGTATCATTTTCTCCATCCACTGTAGTGCAAGCAGGCACAGCCTACATGAGAGTGGCAACTCTGCTCTGAATTCAGGAGCAGTGCAGCATTGTTGCCACACTATCACAGGAAGCTGCATTAGGTGGACTTCACTAGCAGGATCAATGAAGGTAATTGTGGGACTTTGCAGGCGGACAAAAAGAAAACTGTAATTGCCGATGCACTTATAATGAAGTGCCTCAGCACAAATTTTTAATGTCTCAAGGAGAGGAAGTGAAGGAAAATGCACACAATGGGACACAGACAGCAAAAAAAAAACAACTAACGGGGTACAAATGTTTGAATCAGTCCTTACCCGATGCACAATGAAATATAAAACATTCAGCTGAAACCATATGACCAAAGATCTAGGTTTTTAATTAGTGATCAGCACTGGAGAGAGTCTAAATCAGCATTTTCACCAGCTAAGGTGTATTATTTCTCACATTACTCTTTATCCTTCCTGGCAAGACTCTTAGCATAACCTTATGTTAGCAGTAAATTACAGGTGTACTTTAATAGTTACATTACAAATGCTTATCACGGTTTGTATTTAACAGTACGGGATGGTATTTGATGCCGGCTCCTCACACACCTCGCTTTTTATTTATCAATGGCCCATGGATAAGGAAAACAACACCGGCGTGGTAAGCCAGACGCATGTGTGCGATGTAGATGGTAAGTGAATGACTTATACTTGCAGGACTCGGTTTTTATGCTATCACTCACACATTATGGATTTCACACATTTATTCCATGTTGCTGGCCAGGCCTGTGATGAGAGACATATGTAGGTTTCCATTGCTGGCTTTCCATTGCTGGCTTGCTTCTGAAAATGGTAGTTGCCTGACCTATCTTTGGCTGCAATACTTTGTGAGCCACCAGCCAGGAACACATAGGCGGAAGTCAGAGCTCCTAATTTTCTGACTCAGAGGTGAAGCCATAGGATCAGCATGAACTAGCATTTCCAGCTTCCATTTAGTGCTCCATCTCGGATCAATCCTCAGAGTTTAGCGACTGAAATACCAGATTATGATGTTCTCTCTCACACCCAGCCATAAATCAGTATTACCTTTTATAGCTTAGGAGATTTAGAACATCTTATGGTGGAGGTTGGCCTCATGCCTGCAGATGGCAATAACACAGGGAGTTTCTATTTATAAACAATTCACAGAACCATTCACCCTGTGAATCTCTGTGAAAATAGAGGCAAAACAAACGTCCTCAGTATATTACCTTTTCAGGTCGAATACAACGTACTGTAATACCACTCTATGGCCACTGGATGGAGCCGAGGAGCATAGGATATAAATATTATATAATATTTCTGATGTTCCTCATCTCTATCGAGTGGTCATAGAATGGTATTGCATTACTTATATACGACCAGAAAAGATAATATGCCAAAAACATTAATTCGTACCAATAATGGTGAAAAATAACATTCTTAGTATTTTATCTTTTCAGGTCAAATGCATTGTAATGTAATACCATATTATGGCCACTAGATGGAGGTTGAGGAACATATATAATTAATACGTATTTATATACTTGTATATTTGTATACAATACATTAGACCCGTAAACATAATATACTAAGAATGTTCCTTTGCCTCTATTCTCACAGAATGAATGCTCACAGCAATTTGCAGGATGAATGGCTCGGTGAATTGTTTATAAATAGACCCCGTGGTGTGTGTAATTCATTTTGTATGTCCTTTTAACTTCAAAAATTGACAAAATCTTTAAATAAAACAAGAATTATATTCACATAACCCAACTTTCCTATGCAGCATGATGTTTATTGCAAAGTGACAGGTCAGCTTTAAAAAGATATATGATCATTTATGTTTGATTTCACACTGCTTCTTTATCAGGCTCAGTTTTTCCATGTCACCAAGTGTGTCTGGGGAAATCCTCCATCTGCCTCTCAGAGATTGTTGCCGGGACCCTTCTTCTAACTGCTCACGTGCTTTTTACTATCAGCCTGTCTCTGTTTCCATGTACACATCTGGCTTCCTCGGAATGGAGGTCTCCAGTTTATAATAAACAGACTTCCTGTCCAGTAAGGCAGTGTAGACTCAGATGTCTCATAACCCCCATACAAGAGACTGGCTGGGAATAGTGTCCTGTGTATCTCAGGGCAAAAAAACCATATACAGCACAGCTCTGCAATACATGCACAGTCCCTCTGTTTTAACCCCTTAAAGACCCTGCACGTACAGGAAAATAGCTGTTGCTCTGCCAGAAATACACTCAGCTCCTAAGTCCTGCTGTGGGCTGACAACACACACTGTTTTGTGGACTGAGCTCTGCCCTGTTGTCTTTTGCTAAACCACTCAAACTCTGCCACTTTCCTATCTCCACAGCAAAGCAATGGGAAATCCAAAATTTGCAGTTGTCACCAGAACAGGAGGTAGGGAATATCTTTCAATGGGGACACCTGTTCTGGTGACAATTGTCATAAAGACTCACTTTGGGGAGACTTGCCTCTGGCAAAGGGAACAAAATTTTATTTCAAAAGTCAATTTAAATCTTTTCTTCTTCCAGCCCTTACAATACAGGGCTGCAGGTAAATCTAAAGGGGAGTGTACAGCAGCTTGTGGAGCAGCATAAAGTGCATGCCTGGGCATAATATAAAAAATAGAGTATTCAGTACATCTCTGTATATCTGCTCCGTGTTTTCTCCCTTTACAAGCAATACAAGTAAACAAAATTCTCTGTTTATCTGCCACAATTCAATGAGCTCCTAACTTCCTGTATGAACGGACAACACAGTGCCTTGTTGTCAGCTGTGCCAAGTTCCCCACTTCTGGACTACAGAACACTTCCTTCTTCTAATGTCATAATAAATGGGGAGTGTACTGTAGTAGACCATGGGAGAACTCAGGCAGGGCTGACAACACTTCTTGGGTTTTGAGTGCAGAAGTGTCAGTGTTGTCAGCTCACTACAGGAACTTGGAGCTCACTGGATTTCTGGCAGACCAATAGCTGAGCTGGGTTTCTGTACTTGCAAGGTTTGTAATGAGACAACACATGGGGAAATTTGTATGCATTGCAGAGATATACTGAATATATTTTTGTATCTTTTGCCCAGACATACACAATAAGGATCACTAAGGACTAGGGTGGGGGTAGTCAAACTTCGGTCCTCCAGCTGTATAAAATTACAAGTCCCATAAGGCACTGCAAGATTATGATAGCCACAGAGGCAAAGGCATGGTGGGATCTGTAGTTTTAACACAGCTGGAGGACAGAAGTTTGGTTACCTTTGGATTAGGGTGGAAATAACATCAACAATGTATTTATCTGACTGTGAATGACTTGTTAGGGAAATAATAATAAATGTGTCTTTGTGCAGGCCCTGGGATATCCAGCTATGCCAATGACCCCCCTTCAGCGGGCAAGTCTCTATTGGATTGTTTAGAAGAAGCCATGTCTATTATCCCCCCGGAAAGTCAGCGAGGAACCCCGGCTTATCTCGGTGCCACAGCTGGGATGAGACTGCTCGAGTAAGGGGCCTTCAAAGGTCAATCTTGTCTACATTCTTCAGAGCCTTGTGGGACCCAGCAAATTTCACATTAGTCATACAAGGAATGAAGGAACCTCTTCTCCTACGCTGACCTTTGGGGGTCATCCCTGGGAGTAAGGGGCCTTCTAAGGTCAATCTTGGCTACATTCTTCAGAGCCTTGTGGGATCCAACAAGTTTCACATTAGTCATACACAGGGCCGAACTTCCCACAAGGCCACCGAGGCCCGGCCTCAGGGTGGCAGGGACTAGAGGGGCGGCAGGTGTGTGGAATTCCTATCTCCCGATGACCGGGACATGCAGTTCTGGGTGCCGGGCGGGTAGTTTTTTTCTACATTCAGCCCTGCTTTGGGCAAGCAGAGTTAAATGTAGAGCGGGGAAGCTGCAGTTCGTTTTGTACTGTACAAGTGATCCAGGTGATGCTGAGATCACTTGAAATTAGCCTGTTCGTCCATCCTCCCCTGCCGCCCCCCTCTATAATCCGCCACGGCTGCCTCTCCCTGCTGGCCGCCTCCCTCTCCGCTGTGGTTTTTGGGGTCCCCTGCTCCTCTTGGGGGACCTTGGACCACAGCACACTCATTCAGGATGGAGGCTGGGGAGCAGAGCGGAGAACGTCCGTTCTCCACTCTGCTCCATGTGAACACTGAGACAAGAATTGGGAGGGGGCGCATTGAGGAGCCTGGCCTTGGGGTCGCAGGGAGAGTAAATCCGGCCCTGGTCATAAAAGGACTTGAAGGAAACTCTTCTCCTGCAGCAATCTCTGGGGGTCATCTCTTGGAGTAAGAGGCCTTCTAAGATCAATCTTGGCCTCGTTCTTCAGAGCCTTGTGGGATCCAGCAAATTTCACATTAGTCATACAAGGACTTGAAGGAAACCCGTCTCCTATGCTGACCTTTGGGGGTCATCCCTGGGAGTCTTCATTAAACTGTAGAAAGCAAAATAAAATTTTGGAATGGGGCCATGAGAAGGGTTGGCCTGCTTCCCTTTACCTCTCAGAGACCACAAATAGACTTCTACAGAGTGTGGGAACACAAATGAAAGAGGGGAAAGCCATTTAACCCCTTTTGTAGCCAGATGTACCCCGTCACATAACACAAGGCATACTTCTAAATATGTCATTATAGTTTTCATCACCTGAGGGGCCCCGTCAGAGCTTGTTATTGAACAATGGCAGGCTTGTTCTACCTGCAGCCCAGTTCTGGTTTCAGCCTCTCTAGAGATAGAGATTTGTTTCTCGGGAACCTCGGCCTCCCAGTTGGCGGATTTCAGCTGAACTTCTTCATGGTATTTATTGGTACAGAATATTCTGCTGTACAAAACCATTTGTATGACACCCTGCTCACAAGAGCCTGCCATTGCTGGTCTGCTTCTAAGAATGCTAGTTGCCTGGCTGTGTCTGGGTTCAATACTTTGAGCTGCTGACCTGGAACAAGCAACAAAAAGTGAATTTTGTGGCTCTATGATTTCAATGCATGTCAGTGATTCAGAATTAACCCTCCTGCTCCTACACTGCAGTGATGTTATGTCCCTTGGCGTTCTCACGTCCTATACACTGTGTATAGAATGTGATGACTCCAGGATCCTTAGACCGCTGCAGTGGAGGGAGAGGGTGGCTGTAAGGAGCAGTCTAAGAACAAGCCGGCTCATAGGTTTGGGTGAGTATAACTGTTTTATTTCAGTCCCTAGACACAAATGAGCAGTTAACCCTTGCCGTGCAAAATCACTTGGTTCCTTAGGGATTGCACCGATACCGATACTAGTATCAGTGCCGAGTATTTGGGCGAGCACTCGTACCCACCCAAATGCTCCAAAACCTAGCCCGATACATGAGCTTCTGGTATCAGGAAGCCAGGCAGCGAGTCATTACACGCTGCCTGGCTTCCTGATTGGCTGGGAAGCCGGCTTCATGCTCCCTCGTCACTTGCTGCCTGGCTTCCTGGTTGGTCGGAAAGCTGACCAATCAGGAAGCTGGGCACTGCATAATGATGCGGTGCCCTGCAGTCATTGGCCGGATTCATTTTCAAGGCCAGTGGCTCACTTAATAGTGAAGCAAGGATGAGAATGACAGCCTGGGAAGCCTGCATCATGGAAGGCAAGCTGTCACAGCACCTCCCACATGTCCATCCCATTCCCAACGTTGTCTTTCATGGTAGTAGCAGTAACAGGAAAGACACATTGTAGCTGTAGAATGTGAACAATAATATTCTTACATTCGCTCTTCCTTTCTGTCTGCTTCTATAGCCTGGAGAACAAAGCGGCATCAGACAAGGTGCTCTCCGAAGTCTCAGACACCATAGGCCGTTATCCCGTGGACTTCCGGGGAGCCCGTATCATCAGTGGAAAGGAAGAAGGCTCTTATGGCTGGATCACCATCAATTACCTCTTGGAATCCTTTATGAAGGCAGGTGCCATGGTTCTGTCATGTTGTTATCACCCAGTCTGATTAATCATATGCACATACAGTATGATATAGTAACATGCATTGTACATGAGGGAGACATCAGCTTTCACTGCTCACAGCACATACACCAATGGGCTACACTAACCCCAACCCTCCCACTCACTTCCCTGTAACCCTAACACTAACCCCAACCCTCACACTTACCCCCCCTGTAACCTGCATACTAACCCTCCCTGTCACCCTCACAATAACCTTCGCTGTTATCTGAATATTAAACCTACCTGTAATCCTAACACTTTCCCTCCCTGTAACACTAACCCTCCCTGTCACCCTCACAATACCCTCATTATTATCGTAACATTAACCCTCCCTGTAACCCTAACACTATCCCTCTCTGTAACCCTAATCCTCCCTGTTATCCTAACACTAACCCTCCCTGTAACCCTAACACTAACCCCCCCTGTAACCCTAACACTAACCCTCCCTGTAACCCTAACACTAACCCTCTCTGTAACCCTAAAACTAACCTTCCCTGTAAGGCTAACACTATTCTTCCCGGTAACCCTAACACTAACCCTCCCTGTAAGGCTAACACTATTCCTCCCTGTAACCCACACATAGATTTGGTACATGTAGAAGAGATTACACTGTTGGATTGGGTTACATGTGTGCCCAACTTAAACTTAAGGGATCTGTTTGTAATGTGCAATCTCTTGGCGCTATATAAATCCTGGCGCTATATAATTCTGTCCGTACAGATTACATGGTGATGGTGAGGTTCAACATTTTCATTTAGTATTTCATTCTGATGATTAGAAAAGTGTGCGTTGGGGTTCCCTATAGATGGAGTTATTATTTTCACTTGGAACATAAGTTTGATTGCTCAGTTTAGAAACCTCTTCCTCTGTCCATGATGTGCTCGTACAATCTAATCACACGGTGTGGTTTAGTTGATGATGGTCAGTTCACATGCATCATATTTCATTACAATATATAGGCCTGTGATATCCATGTATAGAGGGAATCAATAAAAGTTGAAGTCACTTTATAGAGGGAACAGATCTCACCAGAGATTTGTAAATCAGTTGTACACAAGAAGACAGATGTCACCATTGAATCTGAATTAGACCTGAGCTGCCTATCCATATTTCAATGGTGACATCTGTCTTCTTGTGTACAACTGATTTACAAATCTCTGGTGAGATCTGTTCCCTCTATAAAGTGATATCAACTTTTATTGATTCTCTCTATACATCTATATGACATCTTCCCCCTTCTAAATGACGCGTGGCTGGCCATAAACGGGTCAGCCAACGCATCTACATTGACGGTTCTGCCTGGTGGGAAAGACCATCAGTATTTCAATGATTGCTGCCTTTCTTATGCTGGATGGTAAAATTGTACTGCTGGAGGACAAAGCTCCAGCACAACAATTTTCCATTGTCCCCAACAACTCTCTGCGACCAGCTGAAGGATTTATGGTCCGTAATTACTGTGAATTTGCGACCATAGAGATGGTGTAATTTTTGTAACGCCCATACAATTGCCAAGCACTCCTTCTCTATGGTGGCGTAGAATACCTCCCTGGATAGCAGCCTGGAGGAGCTCAGGGGTCTGGTCGGTAGACCGCCAGCTGAGGGTGACAAAACAAGAGTGTACTGGGAACAGGGCAAGTTATAGAAATACTTTTCATTGTACTAAATAGCAATGTCTCTCCACAGTATTCCTTCAGCGGTCGCTGGCTTCGCCCCGTGTCCACCAAGATTTCTGGTGCTCTGGACCTCGGTGGAGCTTCCACACAAATCAGCTTCATTCCAAAGGTGGAAATCAGAGACCCAGAGGAGAGGGCAGATTTCAAACTTTATGGCTTCCCCTACAGTATCTACACACACAGCTTCCTGTGCTACGGGCAGAACCAGGCCCTGAAACAGATGTTGGTCAAAGCAGTGGAGGTGAGCAACCATGGAGAGCCAAGCAACCAAATATGCTAAGCTATGTAAAATGTATTGGAAGGTTCTCATTCATCCAGGTCATGGTATATCTGTAAAAAATAAGTCAAGGCAACTGGACTTGCTGTATTTTTCTTGAAGACATTTCACTGAACATCCGACCAGCTTTCTCCATTCAGAATGGAGAAAGCTGAACTGAGAAAGCTGGTCGGATGTCCAGTGAAACGTCTTCAAGAAAAATACAGCAAGTCCAGTTGCCTTGATTTATTTTTTACAGATAAGCTATGTAAAGGAATGTCAGAGGCCTTGTTTCTGGAGTGTTAGGCAGCATGAGTAAATTAAATTGCACACATTTGTAGAGGAACTTTTAACTAGCCTTAGCATGGGAACCTGGGATGCCTTTTATTGTATAACTCCATGTTCTTAGACTTCCAGTGAAGATACCACCGCTCTGATTCCTACTCTGATTCCCTTTCCTGGAAGCATCAAGGGGGCTGGTGCTGTGCTCATCAACGGCCCAACTCCACATGCAACTAAAAGAGCCACATGTTCTCTACCATTAAGCCCAAAAGGTAATACCTGGTAGAGGCAGCTGGATATAGGACGTAGATAATGAATGTGACCGGGATGTGAAGTTGACAATAAATATGAGAATCGGCAGATTTAAAGAGTGCGCCTCTTTTCTTTTGGTTCCATGCTTTCAGAGTGAGTTCTGGATCCTTCTCTGGTATATGGCAATGTATTACAGAGCATTGTGCAGGTGCCCCTATGGTGACAAATGCAGAAGCCATGTGTAGCTGAACCAGATGGACTGCTAAACATACATATCAAGGCTCCGCATGCTACATGGCTGTTTTGCACAGGCACCCACTCTCTTTAGCTCTTTCTGGCTCTGATTGGTACATACAGACTTTTCAATTTTGAGTCCAATTAGATCCTGTGAGAGTTATAAAAACCCTAATGAAGGGAAATTCTTTGGCACCCAAAACATACTGGCTTCCTCTAGTTACCATTTTGCTATTATACAATAAAAATGCACTTCTGGACTCTTAATAAGAGTGTTTGGCACTGCTTTTGTTTCGACTACACAGACATCTCAAGCCACGTTACCCCCCTATCTCTGGGAAGACCCCTGCTTTGTGACCCTAGCCTATTTGTAACAACTTCTGACCCAATTTGATTTTGTATCTTGGAGATTTTAATGCTACACAAGTGGCTTTAAAGCCCAACACCAGTCAGAACTTTTTTTCATTTTACACTTTGAGAACTTATACCTGACTTATCCCATTTCTTGTTCTAGTGTCACAGGGACAGTAAGTGAGGGGAAATCTCCCCAATGAAGACACAGACAGCAAAAAATTTTTTTTAAAGTTCTCACTCTTACCCAGCATATTGCAAACTAAAAAAAAGAGTTTTGTTGGAGCTGTCCTTTCAGTTTGCCAGTTACCCTGAATAGGCACATGCTGATTCACGGGAACCCCGGTGATCAACTCACTGAATTGTTTATAATGTGTGTCTTCTGTATTCCTATTAAATAGATACATTCTAATAATAATAATAGCTGATCTGGTGATTATATCCACAGTTACAATCATTTTACTTTTATTTGCAGGGAAAAGATCTAAATCAGCCTGTAGATGTCCCCTGCTACCCTGCAGGATACAAAGAAACCATCACCCAAGACTCTCTCTACAACAGCCCGTGCACCATTGAGTCCGCCCCGCCTTCTTCTCTAACAAAAAATATCACCATCAGTGGTACTGGCAGCTCCGGAGAGTGCCAGAATCTACTCAAAAGCATCTATAATTTCACCAGCTGTGCCGGGAAGGAATTCTGCTCTTTCCAGGGAGTTTACCAGCCTCCTGTTGTTGGGAATTTTTTTGTAAGTCAAGTGACTAAAATTGTCTTTACCTTTGGAGAAAACACAACTGAAAATCCACACAAAGCACACACACAAAGTGTTCTGTGTTGTATGATTCCTGTCTTTTGCTTTTGTTTCCTTTTTAGGCATTTTCTGCTTTCTTTTATACCTTTGACTTTCTGAACTTGACATCTGGACAGAATCTGCCAACAGTAAAGAGCACAATCCAAACATACTGTGCCAGAGACTGGACAGAGGTGGGTAGGCTAACTGTCTCTGGGATCTCAGTTGTAGATGGGGTGTTTGTGTATAAACTAGAACTGCAGCCAAAAATACATTATCCAACGGTAAAAACCTGTCTGTGTTCCATGTAGGAAGATGTCTCCTTACTTTTTTTTTGTCTCACTGGCACAGAAAATAAAGGAAGACTCTCCCCAGTAGAAAACCCAACAAATGTGCCATCTCTTCCCTAGTCTTTAAAGTGACACTAAACTCAGGAGTTAAATCTTAAAAATGCATTCAGGTACCTTAACTATTAACAAAAATGTCTCTTATTTGTGTATCACTCGGCTGTAGATCCTCAAATCATCTCTGAATTGGTGCTGACACTGTCCTTCCATCTGGAGGGTGGACACTTTTGATCCCCATGGTCCGTGTGTGTTGTAAAGTAGCCACCGCTCCAAGATCACTCCCGTGATGGACTACAATCGCAATACAAATTAGTAAACTAAACATGAAATTGTAGTCCATCACAGGAGAGATCTTGGAGCGGTGAGTACTTTACAACATACACAGTGACCATGGGGAACAAAAGTATCCACCCTCCAGATGGAAGGACAGTGTCTGCACCAATTCAGAGATGATTTGAGGATCTGGAGCCGAGTGATACACAAATAAGATACATTTCTGTTAATATTAAGGCCTCATTCACACACAACGCAAGAGCAAAATTTTATATTGCGTAAATACGAGCGTATGTGCGTATATGCGTGCACTATTTGCATTCCCAGAATGCATCATTCCTAATAGAAATTCTAATGACCTGTACGCACGTATACGCGTGTATATATGCGTAAACATGCGTATGCGCATAAAATACGCAGAAATACGCTGCCCGGACACATCTCGGTTTCATTCTGTTTTTGCGCTTTTTTACGCTACGCAAATATACGGCTCCATACGCGGCTATGTGTATGGAGCCATTTATTTGCATAAGGTACAAAACGCACGTACGCGTAAATGCGCGGCAGTGTGAATGAGACCTTAAGGTACTTGAATGCATTTTTAAGATTCAACTCCTGAGTTTAGTGTCACTTTAAAAAGAAGTGTCTTTATTATTATCTGTGTCCCCTCACTTGTGTGTGTGACAGTGTGTCACTGAGAAAGGAAGTAAGGGGAAGTCTCCCAATTGGGGACACAAGCAGCAGTAAAGAGGTTCTACTATATCTATAGCTAAACAAGCTTTTGGTTTCAGTTCCACTTCTAAAGCTGTTGTGTAAAGCCCAATTCCTGCCAAAACAAAGAAGGGCACATAGATCTGTTGAGTTTGTATTGCTCTAGTGAAGATTTCCTCTCACTTCCTGTCCCAAAGACACAAAAAGTAAGTGCAATGGGGGGCTCCAGGACATGTAGACACAAAGAGGAATACAGCTGCTAGTCTAGTCTCTGCTAGAAACATGTGCTCTGGTTGGTGTCTTTGTCCCCATCAGAGAGATATACTATCACTTCCTGTCCTGGTTAAACAAAGTGAGGTCAAATCTCCCCATTGATCACAGACAATAGAAACCTGGAACAAGCACAAACAAGGCATAGTATTCAAAATCATCAATAGATCAATCAGACTGCAATAAAGCACAGTGGTAAGACTGCTCTCAACAAAAACAAAAGGGGACTATATTTCAAGATTCATGTGTACAAAGTCCAATGAGAGCACTCTCATTGGACTTTGTACAAGCAATAAAGCCCTGAGGAAGGTTCTAACCCTTCCTAGCTCTGCACAAAACTAAAACAAAATATTGTTCTGGCTAAAGTTGAGCTTTAAATCTTGCGGTGGAATAGAATTTGTGTTTCTGACACTAAATGTGCACTTATAAATGTATCTCTGCCGGTTATGCTCAGCTTCAGGCAGCTTTCCCAAAGGAGAGGAAGGATCGTTTGAGGGATTACTGCGCCAATGCAAACTACATCCTGACTCTACTGCTGGAAGCTTACAAGTTCAGTGAAAGCAACTGGAATTCCATCAGTTTTATGAAACAGGTATTTTTTTAAAACAGTTTATTCTTTTTGGATTTTCTCAAATATTGCAGCGGTGCCTTTTCTGAAGATGTGCGATCAATTTACTGTACTATTAGCCATGTGATAAATCTTTAGTCTTGAGTGATTGGAAATAATGAAATCCCAGACAACTTTCCCTGACCAAGTAAAAGGCTGGTGTCATATAGTGGTCCTGAGGCTTGTAACAACTTGCCAACAACAAGACCATTAACCTTTGCTATGGGGTCACTCCCTCGATAGTGAGTATGAGTGTTCTGTGCCAGTGGGGGTAAATGGAAACTTCTCTTCATTTATTCTGTCACTGACGATTTATTGTCCACAGCAGAATGACCTGTCTGACATGGCCTTGAAGGTATCAATAGACAGGATTTAGCTCCAGGAGGTTGATCCATCCAACTCCATTAGAAACAGGCAAAAATCAAAATGGCAGTGGAGAACTTCCAGCAGATAGCCCTGCCAATTGCTTTCAGGAGAAACGGTGATTGGTTAGGTCAAATGTTCCCAAATGACTGCTACAACAAACAACTTGCCCACTGAACATATGGCACTACCATTGGTGGTAAAAGCACCTACCTTAATACAAATAAAGTCACATATTCCACATATTCACATAATGGTGTGTTAAAATAAGTCATGTTCTTTAGGGCAACACCGACCTTTCACCATTGCCATCACACGCTGTGGTACACTTTCTATAGCACAAAGGAAGCTGCCCCTACCTTGAAACAGTCATTTGGTTGTATTTACCTCCCAGGCTAAACGTTCTCCCAGTCCTCCCCAGTGCCCATCCATAGACAGACTAAAACTGTGATGAAATGCATGTGTACTGTAGCCTTCAGCCAAAACAAATTTAAGTCCAGAGCAATGGTAGAATGGTAGAAAAGAAAGGAACGGGTAAAGTGTAGAAACAGAGCTACTACTACTTTAATGAGTATAAAAGATACAATTGTACTTACAGTGAAGTGACTTGATCAAGGCATATCACCAAAAGCAAATAACTTGTATAGCTGTATAGCTCTATAGCTCTATACTTTCCTTATTATACACAGAGATAGGCTCACCTATATCAGGTGGGTGTCCACTACCGTCCACTACCATCAGCATACTCACAGAAACCAAAATAGGACTATTTTGGTAAGATAAAAGTCACACACTCCAAAGTATAAATATTTTATTAATTTTAAAAAGATAATACAAATAGATTGGAATCAGATCCATGATAGTCTCACTTGAAATTACAGTGCTAAATTCCAGTACCAAACCCACCTAAAGTGTACGCACATAAAAATACAAATATTAAAAATAACAAAATACCCTGTAAGTATAGCAAAGATACCCTAGCAACTATATAATCATAATAACCATAAAAAAAATGCTCCTATAAAGGTGCGATTATATGTAAAATGATCAGGGTACAAAAATAACTATGGCAATTGCCACTATCACCATCGTATCACTATATGATATAAGGGGGGGAATAAAGGGACCACTTTAGAGCATTTATTCCCTGTATCCTTTATATATAAAAATGTTTAATTATGCAAAAAAAATCCCCAAAGTGCTGAGTGAAATCTTCATCTGCCCTGATGCAACCAGTCAATATAATATAAATAGTTCTTAAGGGTCCACATCCAATGGGCAAGCAAAACTTCTGCTCTTAATCATCTGATAGCATACTGTATAAGGAATATCATCAGCAACTTTGTATATAGTTTAACTATTAGGAACCTTTCACACAGGTGTCATCAGTTCGGCTCAGGAGGGAATTAGGGCACCGATCCCCTGCTGATTGGAATAGAACAGAACAGATGTCACTCTTGACTCGTGACATCCGTGTCAATTCAGTTTCTTCCTCTGGCAATGGAAGAAAAAAACGAGCTGTACGGACCCATGATAGGTCTATGGGCAGTTAGATGTAAGCAGACATATGTCTGTTTACATCTGATTACCTCCAATCCATCATTATACATAACCTTGTTTGTTGTCCTCTCCTACAGGCCGCAGACACTGACATTGGCTGGACACTGGGGTACATGCTGAACCTGACTAACATGATCCCTTCCGAAACCTCAGCTAGCGTGAGAACACAGAGTTATGATGTATGGATCGCCGCCGTCTTCTTTATAGTCCTTACCTTGGCACTCACGCTGCTTATGCTGTTCTTATATTTCCGATAATCATTTGTGGAACCTGAAGGACAATGTAACAGACATACAAGTATATAATGTTTACCTTTTTAGAATTCCAGAAATATGAAAGTATCAGCTATAGACTGACAACCTCATGAGCCAAAGTCAGGATCCTTATATTGTGTTGACCAAGCTGTGAAATGCCCATTGTCATTTGGTTACCTATGGGGCCCCACCATCGATCTTGAAGGACCAATGGATATAAATGGATCTCTTCCAAGGTGCGGGAGAACAAAGGTATAGCTCATACAGCATAGATCTCAGGTTGTGTTTGTCTTGGCCTACAGAGCAAGGGCTGCATCATTTAAAAATATTGCAGCAAGACTGCCTCTTACCAGCCAGCAATCCAACATCCTAATTCCTCTCCTCTGCAAATATGGAACATCAGCAAAAACCTTGAATGAAAAGATTAGATTTTAGGCAAGTTTTTCTCCTCTGAGCTGGAACCATCAGCTTCTGAATTGCATCCTGGATCTTGGACACAGGAGATGAGATAAAAGTTGGGGCCTCACGAATGTTTTTCTTCAAGAATATAACCTACGGCTACAAAACATGAAGAGGATTGACCAGAAAGTCTACCATCAGGAGTGTAACTACAGACCTGGGCCCCAATATAATTGTGAAGGAGACCTCTGGTCCTCTATACCTCACCTAGAAGGCAACTCCATCAGTGAGACCCAAGACATTCCCAGACAATGACTTTGTAACTTGACACAGCTGTCTACAATATTTATTCACTTTGTCCTATGTCTAGATAAATCATTTTACAATGAAGTGGGTCTTCCAATAACTGTACTTTTTGTTATGTACTTAATGGAATGTAAGAGTTAGAGCATTTCTTTGCTTTTTCTGTACTCTCTTTGTGGAAATTTTGCCTCACTTCCTGTCCCGAAGCCAACATTGTCACCGGGACAGGTTGAATGAGGCCAAATCTCTGAAAGAGACATAAAGCATCATTAAAACACATTGAGAAGAATAAAACTTATGTCAGTCTGCTGTTGCGGTTTATGTCCCTGCTGGAGATTTCCCTTAACTTTCGGACAACTTTGTCATCTCTGGATAGGAAGTAAGGAGCAAATTCAGCTGTGAGGACACAGACGGCGATAAAAAGTTCTAACCCTTCCATGCTCTCTCAAATTTTTTTTAAAAAGGGCTGGTGATACACTTTTCATTGTATTCCCTATCATTTGTATAGATGCATAGTTGATATAAATAGATTTTTACTACACCTGGTAAATAAATGTCTAATGTTGTGGTGTCCTAACAATTATTGAGATCTCATCAAAGTTCTAAACAGGAAGAAATGTTAACAGTAAAACATCTGTTCTGATGTATCACTTAACGGAGAACTATGAGGTGAGTGATTTTCCTCATAGTTCGAGCCGACATGTGGCAATGAAACCGTCACACATCGGCTCAATTGATTGGGAAGCGAGCGAACGCATACCGTCGCTCACTCACTTCTTGATCATCTTATCTCCCTGCAGAGAGCCGTGACTGTCACTCACGGCTCCCTGCAGGGATTCCCCTCCTCCCAGCTCCGATCCTCCAGTGCTGACTGGCGGAACGGACGGGGGAGGGGGCGGGTACAGCTGGCTCTGCATCTAGATAGGCAGAGCCTGCTGTCACTCACGCAGCTAGGTGGATCTCGACAGTAATGTCGTGATCCGTCCCGGCTGCAGCGGTCTCAGTATACCGCGAGCCGTAGCTCATGATATACTGAGCTTTGGGTCACGGGAGGAGGTTAGTACAGGTGAAACTCGAATAATTAGAATATCGTGCAAAAGTAATTGCAGTAAGTGCTGCAAAAGGGGCCCAAACCAAGTACTGAGTACATATGCATGCTTGTACTTTTCAGAGGTCCGATATTGTTCTATGTACAATCCTTGTTTTATTGATTGCATGTAATAATCTACTTTTTTGAGGTTGTGGATTTGGGGTTCTTGGGGTTTTCATGAGCTGTAAGCCATAATCATCACAATTATGACAAATCACGGCTTGAACTATCTTGCTTTGCATGTAATGAGTCTATCTCATATATTAGTTTCACCTTTTAAGTTGCATTAGTGAAATAAATGACCTTTGCACGATATTCTAATTATTCGAGTTTCACCTGTATATGTCCTCCCATGACCCTTAATAGAACTATGGGGAAAAACATTTACCCCATAGTTCTCCTTTAAGATTAACAGTGATGTATTTTGAATTGTAGGCTCTTGGATTGGAATGTGTTACGACATAAGAGGTCTACTTGAATCTGTAGGCAGCCTGTGAAATGACCTATCAACAAGTACATTAAATGTTTACATTGGGCTGTCAATGCGTGGCAATAAATACCTACCAACCAATGTCTGTCTCTGTCAGTTACTGTAAAGCTGCCCACATTCATTGAACCATGGAGGGTTGCTGGCCATTTCTATCAAAGAAGCCCAACATCAGGCTAACATGTATCATGTGCGTATGATGGTGGAAGCACAAAGGGAGATGGCAAAATTGCTGACTGGCTAGCTGTGGCTTGACATAGCCCAATCCTCCCGCCACCGGTCTTTTTAGGAAAACCCACTTGACCACTGCAGTGGCATTGGTCACATGACCCAGCACTGGCAGGATCCCAGTGATCGCAGGAGCAAGTACGGTTATTTAATCTGTCACTCACATAGTTACACACCATACTGGTGGTGTATTAAAATAGCAACAACTTGTGCTTTAGGTTTGCATCAATGAGTTGTTGGCTGTGTTGATCAGACCTGTCAGACTCCATACATGATTTCTTTAACAGCATTATAAAACATAGTAAAAATGTGAACTGATGCTATGGGTGACACAGACACTTCATTAATTCACATTTCAAAAGTCTTTCTTAAAGAAGAACTTTAAGTTATACTCACCTGAACCACTGAGCCGGCCAGCTGTCACAGCAATGAGTACTCTCCTTGTCGCACTCCTTACCGATATGTCCCTTGTAGTGGGGAGTGCTCGCAGTGACCGTGGATGATGCCGCGAATGTCAACAAAATTGTAGAAATGTCACCAGCACACCAGTCCTTTTAAGATAGCAAAAGCGCTTTCGGGACCGCGCAGGGTCCCTTCATCAGGCTTTAGCATCAATGCTAAAGCCTGATGAAGGGACCCTGCGCGGTCCTGAAAGCGCTTGTTT